CAGGGTGGGGATGTCATGGAGGGGAGTGGGGAGGGGTCTCTGGGGGCGAGGGGTTCTCTCTTCACCCCCCTCCTTCCCTGCAGCTCACCTGGATGGACTTTGGGCAGACGGAGCCAACCCCCAATCCAGACCTCTGGAAGGTGAGTGGCTGCCTGGGCCGGGGGGGGGGGGGGGGGGGGGGGGGGGGGGGCCCTCTGCTGCTCCTCATGGCTTTCCTCCCCCAGGAGGTTCTGCCGGAGGGGGCGACCCCCAAGTCTCAGTCGGATGAGGGCCAGCAGCCCTGCTCGGCCTTAGGATGCCCCGGCCTACGGTGAGTCTGTGCCTGCCGTCCTTCCCTCCGTGGGCCTGAGGGGCCTGGGCTGCGGGGGCAGCCCAGGGGTGGGGGGAGGGGACAGATACCCACCTGATAGCCCCCTGGGCCGCTTGTCTTCCAGGTCTTCCCTGGCAGCAGGAGGGGAGGAAGCAGCCGGGCTGCTGGGCCTTTCCCCGGGATCGAAGGTAAGGCTGCCCAGGGCCAGGAGTTCCGCAGGCTCTGTGGGGCCGCAGGCAGGCTGGCTTCTGGCCCCCTCGAGGCAGGGAGCCCCCTCAGCCAGAGCAGGGACGGGGCCAGCTGCCTGGCAGACAGGGGGTCCTGAGGAGGCTCCAGGGAGGCCCGGCGTGGGCTGCCCCCCGGGGTTCCCCCACTGCCACTTTCGCTGGGCGGGGGCAGATTCTCTCTCTGGGGGCGCTTCAGCCCCGCATCCCTGGACACGCCTGTCTCTCTGCCGCTTCCCGCAGTGCTTCTCTGTCCACTCGCTGGGCTGGGTGGAGATGGCCGAGGAGGAGCTGGCGCCGGGCAGGAGCACGCTGGCCGTCCACAACTGCATCCGGCAGCTGGCCAGGCGGGAGCCGGCCCTGGGGGGCTCCTGGGTGGAGGTGAGCGGCTGGGGTGGGGGAGGCTGGGGACTCTGGGCCAGCTGGGGGGGGCCCGAGTGGCAGCTGTGCCCCCTCCCCTGCAGGGCAAGGCCATGCTACTGGTGCTGGAGAAGGAGCAGCTGAAGCTGCTGGAGCCCCACAAGTGGACAGAGCTACACTGCCTGCCCATTGCGGCCATCCGGGTGTGGGGCGTTGGGCAGGACAGCGGAAGGTAGGCAGCCGTGGTGACGGGGGGGGGGGGCTGGGGGGGGGGCTTCCCTGGCGGATCCTTTGCCCAGGCCTGCTGAGCTCCCTGCTGGCCCCCCTCCGGTGGAGGCCGCTCCCCTGGAGGCCGGCTGAGCCCCCTAGGAAAGTGCGGGCTTTGCACAGGAAAAACATCCCCCTTGGTGGGCGCCTGGGGAAGCTGTGCCCAGGGTGGCTAGCCAGGCCTCTATGGCCTCTCAGGCTGGCCCAGCAGTGAGGCTGGGGTCTCTTCTCAGAGTCTGGGGGCTGTGCAGATCTGCAGTCCGAACCAGCCTGGACTTTTGGCAACCACCTCTGTGGGAGAGCCCCCCCCCGCGTAGTTTTGGGTGGGTTGGAGCCTCCCCCTGGACAGCCTGGGGCCCTTCCAGAGACACCCGACTCGACTGGGGGGCGGGGTCAGGTCTTCCCAAAGGGTCTTGCAGCAGCTCTGATCGCCGGACCTTCTTCGGATGGGCCAGTCCAGGTCCGGGGTGGGGGTGGCAGGGGGGAGTAGCTGGCCTCTGCTTGGGGCCTTGCTGCTGGCTGCCCCCCCCCTCCCCCGGGCCAGAGGGAGGGAGAGCTGAGTGACTGAGGGGTGCCTTCCTTGGGGCTTCTGGCAGCATGCATGGGGGGGGGGGGGCGGGGGGCCCTTTTGGGGAGGGGGGGCCCGGGGGCGGGGGGGGGGGGGGGGCAAGGCTTCCCCCCCCCCCCCCCCACTAATCCTCTGGGGCCCAGGGAAGCCCTCCGCCCCCCAGCCCCAGCCCCTCCATTCAGCTAGAGCTTCCCCTGCTGGGAGGAACATTGGAATGGCCGCCCTCCCCCGTGCCTGCTTGGCAGCCTCCCGCCGGAGGTGCTGTGCCCAGCACAGCTCTGACCTGCCCCCCCCCCCCCGTGCCCTGGACCCGACCCTCTGCCCCCCCTGCAGGGAGTTTGCCTACGTGGCCCAAGACCAGCTGGCTCAGATGCTGAAGTGCCACGTCTTCCGCTGCGACGCTCCGGCCAAGGACATTGCCACCGGCCTCCATGAAATCTGCTCCAAGGTCAGGTCCCACCCCCTCCCCCCACTGCCTCGGCTCTTCCTTGGGGGTCCCTCCCTCCCTCTCTCCCTCCCGTCTCTGCCGGGGGTCCCAGGCAGCACCTGGATAGGTGGGCACAAGAGATGGGCTCCTCCTGGGCTCAGGCACCCTCCTCCCCCCCCACCCTAAGGCCAAGGGGCAAAACTTGCCAGATTGGGGGGGCAGCCTGATGACCACTGGGGGTGACCTGCTCTCTCCTCTAGATTGTGACAGAGCCACACAGCACCCAAAGCTCGCTCCGGGGGCTCTCCCTGGACCCCTCCAAGATGGTGGAAATCCCCTTCCAAGGTAGCCAGGAAGGAGGGGGAGGCCTTGGGGGGGGGTCTCTCATAATTCTGAACAGTTACTAAGCAACCTGGTGTCAGTCGAGGATCCTACGGACTGCTCCTTGCCCCCCCCTTTCTTTTCTCCAGTTGAGTTTCCGGCACCCAAAAGTGAATCGGTCCAGAAATTCCAGGTTTACTACCTGGGGAGCGTTTCCGTGGCCAAGCCCGTGGGTAAGCAGGAGAGGCGGAATCCCAGGGGACCGGCTGGGGGAAGCAGGAAGGGCAACCTTGACCGGGGGGGGGGGAGCATCCTGGCCGCCTGCTCATGCGGGCCCCAATGCAGCAGCTCCCAACCTTCCTGGCCCCTGAGGGGGGGGGCGTTTCCGCTTGGCATGCTTGCCCGGCCCAGTTCCCCACAGGCCCCCAAACGGTACCAGGTCTGGGGACACCTGCCCTCGAGGGCCCCTCCTTTCTGCTGCAGTGGTCCTGCTAGCTAGGGTGACCAAGGAAGCCTTCCCAGCCCCCTCCCCTCCTGGGTCGCCTGTCCCTCCCTAGACACATCCACCTCGTGAGGGGCGCTCTTTCGGCTGAATTGCCAGCCCCCCCAACCTCCTCCAGCCGTTGGCTTCCCCAAAAACATGACTCTGCAAGGGGGGGGCTTCCCCCTTGTTGGGGGCTCAAGGCCAGATGAGATCTTCATTCTCCCTTTGAGGCTGGAAGTCGTCCATGTGCAGGAACTGGATGGGCGTTACGCAGTTAGCTGAGACCCCGTGTGGGGAACCTCCTACCCACCCCCCCAGATCGGAGGCCGTGCCCACAGGGGGCTCAGGCCCCCTTCTGCCTGGGTAGGGGTGACCCCAGCAGATCCCAGGTCTGGAACGGTCCTCCTGGCTTAGCTGCTGTTGAGGCCCCGGTTCCTGCTCTTCCCACTGGGCGTAATCCCAAACTTTGGCCCTCGCCTGACCTCCCTGGTGAGGTTGTCCCTGCCTTTGCTTTTCCAGGCATGGAGGTCATCAACAGCGCCCTGGAGGCGGCCCTGGCGTCTGGCAGCAAGGAGCAGTGGGCGCCCGCTCAGTTCAGCGTGGCACCAGCCACCCTCACCCTCGCCCACCAGCAGGTAATGGCGTGCTTGGCGGGAGCAGCCGGGGAGGAGCTCGAGAGTTGGGACAGGGGAGCCCTAGGAGGGGCCAGACCCCACCCCACCCGCCCTCGGAGGGCCTGTCCCAACTGCCGCCTTCCCCGTAGACTGACACTGTGCTGTGCGAGTGCCGCGTGCGCTTCCTCTCCTTCATGGGCATCGGGAAGGACGTCCGCTCCTTCGCCTTCATCATGGCGGCGGCCGGCAGCTTCTCCTGCCACATGATTTGGTGTGAGCCCAACGCTGCGGGGCTGAGCGAAGCCGTCCAGGCCGCTTGCATGGTGAGTTTAAGATGCTCCCATACCCCGATCCCCCCCCCCGGCTTGGCAGAGGCTCTGCCATGTTGCCAAAAGGGCAGCAGGGCTCCTGCCTTCGCCAGCTCTGTGGCGTCTGCTGGGGGCCCTGGCTGGCTATTCCTGCCCCCCCCCCCCCGCCCAGCCTAACCCACGCTCCGTCCATGCCCTGCTGTAGACGGCCGGACCGCAGGGCATGGCTGGGAGGACCCTGTGCCCCAGATGCCCATATCGCCACCGATGCCCCCTCACCCACCTCCTCCCTCCTTTTCAGCTTCGCTACCAGAAATGCTTGGATGCGCGACCCCAGTCCACCGGCAGCTCCTGCCTCCCAGCCCCTCCTGCTGACTCCGTGGCTCGCCGCGTGGGCTCCACGGTTAGGAAGGGCATCCAGGCCCTGCTGGGGACCCTCCAACCCAAGCACCAGGGGTCCCAGACGCCGTGAGCTCCAGGCAGGAGAGAGGGGGACCCGCCTGCCCACCTGGCCCCTGCCATCAGCCTCGCAGCGCTTGGCCTGCCCCGGTGCGCGGTGGGTGGGTGGAAGTTCTGCATGAGTGCAAGATGTCTGTTTATGAGGGAAGCGTGGATCTCCACAGAGGTGTGACCTTCATGCCAGTGGGGGGGGGGGGGGGGGGGCTTCTCTTTGGGCAGCCCCGCCACGGCTGCCAGACCTTTCCCCCACCGGCCTCTCCCCCCTCCCCGCCAGTACGGTAGACCCTGGAATTAGCCGCAGCCGCTGCAGAGGACCTGGCTGGCACCTGGCCACACACTGGGGAGGGGTCAGGGTCCCACAACTTCCCCATTTGCCCAGGAGCAGAGGGGCTGGGGCTGGGGGGGGGGAGCCCCTGCTGTTTGTCTTGTACTAACCCACAAATAAACTCTGTTCCAACAACCCCGACTATCTCTGGCCTGGTGTTGTGATGGGAGGGAGGAGCTGCCAACGTCCCTCTCCCCACCCCAGAAGCTGGGGAAGATGGGTGCCTGGCAGGGCTCGGGAGCACACTGGGGTCCTGATGGGTAAGGGGCACCCCCCACCCTCCCAGGGTATGGCACAGGAGAGGCAGAGCTTGGCTTCCCTCCACGAGGGGGGGCAGGGTGAACCCCACTTCCTCCTCCCTCCTGCCAAGGGGAAGATGTGTTCCTGGGCGCTGCGCCCCCTGCCAGGTTGGGCCCGTCTCTCCCTGCCCTCTGGCCTTGGGGGCAGCCAGCTGGTCACGCATGGGAGAGAGAGCCAAGGGGACCCAGGCGAGCGGCTGAACCGGGCGAAAGAGGAACCTTCTGCCAGTGGAGGAGACACAGAGGCCATTTATTGTTGGGAGGGGGGAACAAAAGAGAAGGGGGGGGGTGCCCCTCCCCTGCAGAGGAATCCCCTGCTGGCAGAGGCTGGGCTGAAGAGCCTGCCGGCTTTTGCCTGGTGCCAGAGCAGCGTCCTGGCAGCAGAGCCATTCGGGCCTCGGCTCCTCCTTTGCGGATGGCACTCAAGCATGCGGGCAGCAGTATGGGCACGTCGTGCAGGCCTGCTTCCCACGCCCGCACAAAGGGGCTGGAGCAGGGGTGGAAGAGGAGGAGCTGCCCAGCCATGGAGGGGAGCTGCAGAGGCAGCCGGGGCTTCCTACCCTCTCGTGAGAGTCCTGGGCCCTCTCCGCACCTTGGGGGCCAATTTGGAGGGTGGTGGGGCTTGCCTGGAACTTGAGCCCCACGGAGTGCCCGAGAGAAGGGACGCTGTGTTGTGCCCACCTGCACAGAGCCCGCTGGAGGGCAGGGCCCCTGGGCCCTTGTCTTGGGCCCGGCTAGCAAAACCGCTGTTGCCGCCACCAGGCCTGGATTTCCGGGAAGGGCAGCTGGAGGCTCTGGCAGAGTTTGGGATCAGCTGCCCGGCCGGTGCGGAGCGCGCAGAGCGTGGCCTTCCGGCAGGTGTCCCCACATGGCTCAGCGGGCGGGTGGCCCTTGAACCTCAGGTACCAGAAGTGCTGGAAGAGCCGCTCGTCGGCCTGGAGGTGGTCCAGGAGCCGGTTCCAGTCCTCCGGGAAGGCCACGGGCAGCCCGTAAGTCTCCTGGGCCCCGTAGAGGCGCTGCCACCGAGCCACGGCACCGGGCTGGTTCGCCTGCGTCAGGTTCAAGATGAACGTCTCGTGGTCCAGGACCATGTAGGAGGAGCTGGAGCGGATCCCATCCACGTGGTAGACCCGGTACCCTGGAAGGCAGGCAGGCAGGCAGGCAGGGGTTACTGGCTCGGCTCAGGGGGGGCGAGGGGGGGGCGGCTGGCAGCAGCAGACACCCTGGGAGGGAGGGCAGCACCTCACCTGGGTTGAGTTTGATGTAGGTGGTAACGCTGGGCGCCAGGAAGGCAATGCCCAATGGCCGGGTAAGGGTCTCCTCGTCGTAAAAAATCTCAAACCCGTCCAGGTGGGTGTGGCCAAAGAACTGCCCGGCGACCGTGCCCTCAAACCTGCAGGGAGAGACGGGCCTAAGCAGGGGCTCCCCAGAGGCCTTTTGCCCCGGCTGGGCAGCTCGAACGGGCTGAGCAGGGATCCAGCCCTGCGTCGGGGGCCCTGGAGGGTGGGGGGGGGGGCGGGGAGAAGAGGCACCCCCAGGAACCCCAGCTTGGCCGCCGAGACCACGAGGCTGGCAAGGAAGCAGCCCAACCTCAGCACAGGCCCTGAAGGAGATGCCCCAAGGTCAGCAGGGACCCCCCCACATGGGAGACCCTTCCCCACTTGAGGATGTGACGGGCTTGAGCCGAAGCCCTTCCTTAGCGTCCGTCTTCGGAGAGGTGGCGTGCCAGGGTGCAAGACTGCCGGTGCCCAGGGGGCCCATCAAGGGTGGGATGCGAAAGGGGGCTGGACAGAGCTGGCCTGGCCCAACCTCGGAAGGCAGAGCAGAGCCGGAGCTGCTGACGACCAGACAGGAGAACGGCCAGAATTGAACTGGAGAAGTGGAAGGAGGAAGCAGCCACCTGAGTTCCCGGGCAGCATAAGGCTCCTCCTGCCTTGAGCAGGGAGTTGGACTAGATGACCTTCCAGTCTATGTTTTATCTCTTCAGGAAGCCCCCCCCCCCC